GTGGCTCTGCAGCCAGCCCAGCTGAGGTGTGCCTGGCCTGGGGAAACAGCCTGTGGTCCGGGCAGCATGAAAACGCGTTTGCTGCCTGGGTAACTCGTTCTGATGGTTAGAAAACTCACGGGTGACAACTGCCTGGCTTGTATTAGAACATCCTGGCTTGCATTAGAAATTTTGTGACCAGCAGAAGAAAGGAAGTGATTGTCCCTCTGTACTCAGCACTGGTGAGGCCACGCCTTGAGTATTGTGTTCAGTTTTGGGCACCTCAGTACAGGAGAGATATCGAGGTGTTGGAGCGAGTGCAGAGGAGGGCAACAAAGCTGGTGAAGGGCCTGGAGAACAGACCTTATGAGGAGCGATTGAGGGAGCTGGGTCTGTTCAGTTTGACGAAGAGGAGGCTGAGGGGGGATCTCGTCATGCTCTACAATTACTTGAAAGGACATTGTAGAGAGGTTGGTGCTGGTCTGTTCTCACAGGTAATTAGGGACAGAACCAGGGGAAATGGTTTCAAGTTGCAACAGGGCAAGTTTAGGCTGGACATTAGGAAGAAATTCTTCACAGAAGGAGTGGTCAGACACTGGAACAAACTGCCTAGGGAGGTGGTTGAGTCGCCATCCCTGGATGTGTTCAAGTGTTGCTTAGATGTGGTGTTGGGTGATAACGGTTTAGGGGTGACCTTGTAGTGTGGGGTTAATGGTTGGACTTGATGATCCCAAGGGTCTTTTCCAACCTGAATTATTCTATGATTCTATACCAAGCTTCCATGTCGGAGCAAAAGACACCTCTATAGCTATATAACTCTGTATTTACATAATTGTGTAAATTGTCTGTGTACATACATGGGATCCCATTTTGAATGGTTTAGCGACAGATGTTTAAAAGAATGTGATATTCTACTTTAAAATACATAAAGATATCATCTGTGGTTTTGTAGTCAAGCTATCTAATCAGAATTGCCAGGTTCCCAAAGCTATATTTGTCTTTACAGGACCTTTTTATCAGAAAGGCAGCTTTTTTTCACTTCTGCATGAGGAAGAGATGGAGTAACTGAATGGAAAGTTCCTGTAAATTGACACTGGTATACAGACTGTCTTTTAAAGCGTAGCTCATGTGGTTCTCATTCAGTACTCTAAGGGGAGCTTCTTTTTTTTTTTTATTTATATGGCAATAAAACAGGATTTTGTGGCCTAACGTTTTTAGCAAAGCTGAAGTAGTGCAGGTAATAAATTTTAAGTTAAAATGTGAGTTTAATGTGTTTGATTCTTTAATACTAATGTTTCAGGAAACAGTCCAACTCTTAGTTCTGATAAGGCTGTAGCAGCCTATTTTTAATATAATTACAAATGTAAATATTTGCCTATGCAAAATAAATTTTCTTCAAAGGCATGTGCTAAACTATGCAAAGAAGCTAGCTTATTAGTTTTAATCTACTGGTTTTATACTAATCTGATATTATTAAACTATGAATTTTAATCTGTTAATTGGAGCACACAGTTCTAGTTTCCAAAATGAAATCCACTAAGCATTTTGTTTTATTCGTTGATTTTTGTATTCTTTGAATCATCTTTAGATTCGAAGCGATTCCTCTCAAGTTGTCAATGAAAGTATACCTCAAATTTACACAAAAGCTACAGAAATGAGACAAATATACAGGAAGATTGACAAACTAGAGGTATGTATTTGATACATTTCAAGTGTATTCTGTTTCTTAAGGAGGGGAGGAGTTGCTGATACGCTATAATCCTGTGTGTGCGTGCATGTGGAGTGGGCTCAGATCCATTTTGCTCTCCATGTCCAGTCTGGGTTCAATGCTTTAATAAAAAGAGCAGAGTTTATCAATAATTTCTGAAGACTGTGGGTGTTGTAAAATAAAAGGCCTTTTTAAAAAAATTATCTTTTTTTCTTATTTACTGCTTGAAGCAAGACACATAATTTTTCAAAAAGAAATAGTACTGTTTTTATTTTGTAGTGTCTTTGGAAGTTACTGCCTTGGGAGCTTTTTGGAGACTAGTAGTATGAGAGATCATTTGATCCCTGTTAAACAAGCTTCCAAACTATGGTTCAGATCCTTAGTCCTTCTTTTAGTAAAAAGACAGATAGAAGTCTAGGCTCTAAGAAGTCTAAATTAGTTACTTGAGTGGCAAATAGGAAAAGTAAGACTGGCTGGTTTATTATATTAAGCATGTTTTGCAGTCTTTTAAGTATCTTAAGTAATTTTTAGCAATAAAATGCACTTGTAGGTGGAAGGGAAATAGAGCATAGAGTTTCGGACTCCTCATGTAAATGATAGAACTTTCACCACTGTTGTGGTGAAATAATCCTGGTTTAATTTGCTAGTGAAAAAGTTGAATTTCCCATGTGTTTTTTCACACCAGGCTTTTGTGAAGATGATTGGAAATAGTGTAGCTGGACTGGAAGAACGGGTCATAAAAGCAGAAACAGACCTTGGAGCTTTTCCAAGCACATTCAAGAAAATCTTGCACACAATCAGCATGCCGTCCTTCCTTAATGTAAGTAAACTTTTGTTACCATGTGGCCAGCTTAGTTGCTCTGAGCAACTTACCAGAGCACATGATTAAAATTGTAGTATGTTACACATACCTCTGAATTTAACTGTGAAACTTTTTTTATACTTTATTAGGATTTTTGCAAAGTTCTCAGGCTTCATAAAAAGAAAAAATAAAACATCAAACTTAAAAAAAATTTTCATGAATTCTCACAAGGATTCGCCTAACTTTCCGAAGTAAGGCTGAGCTCATGAAGGGAATGTGAAGGGTGTGAACAAGCGTGTTATGTTCAAGCATTTTTATTAAAGCACCCCGATCTCTGGTGGTATGCAAAGCAAGTAGGAAGAGCCTATACATACAACCTGGTTAAAGAATCATACCGCATTGATAATATCACTTCAGAAATGTTACCAAAAAAGGAGATGAAAGCTATGCTGCACAATATTTTTACAATTAAGGTTCTGTTTATACTTGATCCACACAGTTCAGTAATCATGTAAGCACCGTGCTAAACTTTCTAAGGATGCGGTTTTCTCTCTCTTTCTTCATCACTATGTGTGGACGCTTTCTCTGTAGAAGACCTGAAGTACTCTCTGGCATGTTCCAAAGAGATGCCTTACCTAACCTTTATGCTTTAGTTTTAAACCATTAGTTTTAACCATTATGCTTTAGTTTTAAAATAGCCTTCTTGTTTAAAAAAAAACCCACAAGTAATAATCTAAACAGCTGATGCTTCCTGGCATTACTTGCCAGTACACCATTTTTAAGTACTCATACCTGCATCTTGTCAGCTCTTAGCTTCTTTTCTTTAACTTTTCCTACATTCATCCTGTACTAACTCAGATTTCTGTATCATCATACTGATGAAAATGCTAAAATAAAGTAGGTTTGCAGAGGGGAAGAGGAAGATGATTGTGGCTGTTTGAGGTATTTGCGTTTCTACATATTGCAAGCATGTGTGGCAGCAGAGAAAAATGGTTATAAAAACAATATATATTGTCTTGTTAAGATTCAGTTCAGGAAACCTCTTCTTCACAGCTGTTTTCTGTGCAGTCTTTAAATTAGTTAACTTCTCATTCCTTCATTTTCTTTGGTGTATAAGTTTAGAGTGGTGTAATTTCTTTTTCTTGAAAAATACCAACAAAACAAGACAAAGCTGCTGTTTATGGGACAATTACAAAACAGACAACTGAAGCAGTTGACTTGAAGAATATTCAACTGTATTTTCCATTTTGTTGCTAAAACCAGTTGTTAAACCACAGAATTATAATCTTCCGTTGAAAAATTTGAAAGTTCTAAGAAAGCAGTTTTCCAGTGTTGGATGGAAACACTTCATCAGCTTAGCAGTTTTTCCACAGTTAAGAAGGTGGAAAGTCTTTGAAAGTGTCATCAAGCCCAACCTGGCATGTCCGATGTTTTCTTGGCTTGAGTGCAGATAGCAATAAAATCAACACTCGGAATCGACGACCATTAATTGATTCACTGCAAGGCGGGTCACTGTTCTGTCGTGTTACTGAGTATCACGTAGTGAAATACCTATTTGCACTGTAGTAAACAGGAGCATGTCGGAATGGAAATGCCTATTAGAGATTTCTCCTCCTGTCCAGCATTTAACTAGCTCACTCAGTAGATCAGTGCTTCGGAGAACGCAGCTGTACCAGGTCACGATTTTCACTGTAGCTGTGGTTTATAGCTTTCTGCTAGGATTTTTAGTTGTCTCCTCATTTTCTTCCCATTTAAATGTATCTGTTTCTTTACACAAAGGATATATTTTTTGTATTTCTCAAGCTGTATATTTGTAATTTTGCTTTCAGATTTTGCCCCAAGTTCTTACCTTATGAATACCAAGAAGTGTAAAGTACAGTACTGTAAGACTTCTAATATCACTAGGGATGTAAACTCTCTCAAAAGGTAAAAAGTCTGCTGAGTAGCTGCAAAAAAAACTGACCGTAAATGTGTACTTAGGCAACTGTGGGTACTGTGCCTGCCTATGAATTTCTTCACTAGTTTGAAATTATCCCCTTCTTGGGACACATGCAGATATAGTGCCTCTTAAATCAGTGTTGTGAGTTGCAGAAACCTATGGCCTTAGTTTCCCTTGCTTGCGAGGTGTTTTCTCCTAGGGCAGTACAGGATAGAAAATAATTTTTAAAAACATAACTTTGATTTCAGGGGTTGTTTTTACGTTTGGTAAAATTTCTGGTACAGAAAGTGTTGATAATATCCACTATTTATAGATCTTATTTTTGTTTAATTTTTTATTTTGCTGCAACATGAATGGCAAATCAGACATTTCAGAGAAGTTAATGGTATTGGAAAGTTAAACAAATGTCGTAGATCAGCATTTTTTTATATAACAGGAGAATATGTACTTATTTCATATGGAGTACAAATACACAGCTCAGCTGAATATTGGAAAAAATTCCCATTAGCTGTTGTGTAGGTATGCTTAATTATATACTTCACTTTGGTACCGTAAAAGCATTCCAAACTGGGTATACTAATGATATTTGGTATGCTTTTAATGTTATGATTGGTGAAGACTCTTCATTTCCTTATCCCAGACAGGCAAAAATACCTGAAGAACTTTGCAGACAGACTGACTGAGAGCTCTGCAACATAGTTCATCCAAATCTTTTTAAGACTATGTTTTGAAAACTTATACTGGGTGTGTGTTGCAGTGGAGCGTTAGTTATGTGCAGGAAGGCTGACACTATAGTCAGCAGGGGTCCTTGCTGTTGTCTCTTTAAACAAGGTACTTAGTATTGCAGAACAATATGCAGTTAATATTTAGAAGAAATGTGTACACTTTTCCGGCAAAACAGTGGAACAGCTCTTTCCAAGTCCACTGCCGTGTTATTTTTAACAATATGTCATAGTACATGTAATCTAACATTTGATAAAACAGCTCAGCAGAAGCAGCAACCTTCTCAAAAGAAACAATGGCCACTTACGTTTTCATATGAAGACTCTTTTAACTAAGTAAATGAGAACACAGGCTGGGGTTAACAGAGCTAGCTGAGGAGAGCTCGAAAGCCAGAGGGGCAAAGGTAAAGATATATGGCTTTGGAAGGAAGAAGGTTATGATAACTATACTGTGTCCTGGAAACAATGACCTGTTTGGCTCCTGCAGAGCTCCAGGTCTGAGTATGTTCAAGGCGATGGAGCGGCAAAGGTCAGAGGCTGCTTTTGTTCACTAATACTGAGAATATGCCAGACCCGTCTGAGCTGTGGTTGAAAGTTGGCCTGACTAAGGAGATGTGCTTCTTGGACTTCTCTTGTTTTACCTATTAGCTCTGTAGGCCTTGTTTTAAAACTTGCATTTTTAAGAAGGTGAAAACTAAAACTTATCTAATTTGCAGAAATCATCTTCCTCACGACAACAACAGACCCTCTATGAACCTCCAGTCCTCTTCAAGACTGAAGACTATTTTCCATGTCTTAATGAAGCACCTTATTGATGATTTTTTTCTTTGGGATTGATATGGATCAGCCAGAATAGAGACAGCCAAGTGAACAAAAGAAATGCTAACCTCAGAATAACTGCATTTCTGAGCATTATTGATGGCATATTGCCATTCTGAATCTCAGTGTCTTCCTTCAGGCAGTATTTTCAGGTAATCTTTATCTGTGTGCATTATTTCAGAAGTCTTCCTAAAACACAGTATACATTTTTAAATTATATTGAGGAAGGAACTTATGAATACTTCTGCATTAGTTTTTTTTAAATAGGAAAAATAATTTTATATAAAATCTTTTATCACAAATATCTGTGCTGCTGCAAGTGTAAATAGCTATACCACAAGGATGTCTCTTTTTGTTGTTGTTGTTGGTTGTTTTTTCTGTAATGTACTCACTGAGGTGAAAGAAAAACTATGCATAGAATCATTTTGAGTTTTGGAAACTGGTCCCTGCTGTTCGTACAGATGAATGCAGCACCTTGGGATGTACAAGTTGGAAGGGGAGGACTTAGAAGATGGGTAAGGAGTCAAGGCCATGGCTTGAAGCATGTGATCTAGTCCCTGTTCACAAAGCAAACATCCAGGCCCTGCTGATCATCATCATGTCACGGTGACCCGAGCTTCTAATTGTTGCAGCATTGTATTGTTTGATATGTAACCAGGTGGGCATTATATACATGTATGTATGGATTTATAACCTGCTATCAAAAAGAAAAAGTATCTAAGTAGAGGCAGGAATGTCCCTGGACTGAGCCTCGATCAGGAGCCTGACCAGACCATCTGCTTTTCCCTTGGAACCTTCCATGTGGTTACTGGGGCTCCCCGTGCTGACTGCAGTGTGATTATATTATCAATAAACATTATAATAGCTGCCTAACCCCTGCTGTAGCCTTGCATTTCACCTGACAGTATCCGATTGTGCCATTGTTTCTGAGAACCTTTTTCCATGCAGTTTCATATAATACATAGCAGGTATTAATTCATAAATTGTTGTATTCCTCTTAGCAACAATTTTACCACTGTTGGTTTACTACCAGTATAACTCATTGGAAATACCCAGAATTCAGATTTTGAGGAAGTAAGGAATACATTAGGGAAACAGCACGTCTGCTGATTTTGTATTGTAAGCACAGACAAATCTACACAGTTGTATAGCAAGGATTATACAGATTAATAGATAAAGCTTTTAAAACTATATGGTCTTGCCTCCCAACAGCAGTAGGGACCAGATTCTAAACAGTATCCAAAGCAATATTTAGTAAAAATTAAAACCACAATTGTGAAGTCAAAATGAGTAGGCTCCTAAAGCAGCACACAATTCTAATGTGAAAGTGAATTTTAGTATAAAGAGTCTAGAAAAATAATTGCATTTAAGCATGCAGAAATGAACAGACATTTGACTTTGAAGAAGAGTTCTCTGCTGCCTCCCATACTCCTCACATTCATAAATATTTCGCTGTTTAGATGTTGCACTGCAAGCAACAGTTGCATTTTAGAAAGGTGTGGTACCTTTGACTTTATGCATAAATAATCCTTGAAGGTTTATCACTCCTTTGAAAACTAATGAAATGGCATAGCTATAACTTAGTGTAGCCACATGAGGTTACAGCCAGATACTCTTTAAATACACTAATACTGACATGACAAAAAATTTTAAAGTAACTCTAGAGCAGCTTTCTAATTAGATGAATCAGTTGCTCAAATTAAAACTTTGCCCTCTGCTGAATGGAGATAAAATGCAGCTATTTTTAAATAGGTGATACAGTTTAAAATATTAAAATAGCAAAGATCTCGGCAAGCTTATACAGCTGAATATTTGTCATGTAATATTGTTTATATTAACAAGAGAAAAAGTTCACCTATTCTGAAGTGTGCATTTGTGTTAAACAGTTATATGGAAAATCAAAGTTATATCTTCAAAGCATACCACACCTAAAAATCATGCAATTCCTGTAACTAGTAGGGCTCTGTGTTGGAAATGCTGCAGAATATTTTTATTACTTAAAATAATGGGCAATACTTGGAAGATTTATTAAGCAAATGCTGTGTAAAAGTACAGACAAGTAAATTGTGGCTTATTTTATACATGATACAGAATAACAAGGTCACAGTTCATCTGTGCACTATAGTCTAGAAAAGTTAGGCAGTTAAGGCATTCTGGTAATACTGACAAGACCCACAAGGGCACTCTGCTGTTGAATTTTTACTAACTTGGCTGTCTCGTTGTCCATGGTCAGCTTCACCAAGCAGGAATAGCACAAAAAAAATCCCAAGTGTTCACACTCAGTAAAGAAATGCTCATAGACCGTTCATTTATTCAGCCTGCTGCTTTTACCTTCTATTAGTGTAAAACCATTAATAACTATGTCATGAATTAGGCTCAATATTGACTGGTTTTGTCAGCTGCAAATAAAATCTAAAGCTCAAAATCCACTGATGCAGATATGCATACATCCAGGGAGCTGTACTTTTATCTTGCTCTATACAGTGTTTTTCTTTCTCTTCTTGCTTGGGGTCCAAGATAGGAAGCCATTAACAATAGCACTGTCATACCCATTTTTAACAGGAAGAGCTCTACAGAGAGAACTGAGGTAAAGCAAGACATGATGCTTAATGAGCTGAAACGCTAGAGGCTGGTTATTGAGTTTATGTAACTTGGTATCAACAAAAGAGTCTATGCACAAATCTCTTCTTTTGTGACTTGAAATAAAAATTTTAAAGTTATCCTAGCAGAGATAATGCCAGAAATTTTTTATATTCTCATAGTTAGGTACATATTAGTCAACTGATTAATGGAAACTTAACACTGCAGATACCTGTAAGATATATATATGTATGTAGATATATGCACCTACACATTTTGTTCCACTCCTGAGCAATGCTACTGCAGGTGCTATAAAGCCTAAGGAAATTATAGAAGAATGCACATTATTGACATGAGAAGAAACATTTGATGATATATCTGACCAAATAAAATAATAAATTGTTTAAAGATTTAAAGATGCACTGGATTACGTTGACATTATCAAAACCTATAACAGTTCGTTACTTCTACTGACAGTAACCTTCACGGTTCAGTAGTTTTACCTGCAAGCCTAGGAGATCAGTAAAAGTTTAATTTGGATTCTGTCCTGCCCAGGAACTGTTTCCGATACTAAGATCTTGAGCTGTAGAGAGTGATCCTGAGTGAAACACTTTCCAGAATGAGAAAGAAGAGCAAGATAGCTTGCATCTGTGTCTATGAGAACTTTACATTTGAAAATAGTAAATATTTTAAGGTTCCCTTACCAAGAAAAAAAGATATTTTTTTTAGGTGATGACACTTTTAAACTCTCACTTTTTGTAGAAAAAAATCTAGCCTTGGACCAGCTGCCATGAAAATCCTGTGTGCCCAGACAGAAGCGATGCCTTGAAAAGCCAAAATCCCTGACAGATTTAACTGTCGTCGAGGAGGTCCTGTGCTGCTCAGCAGCAGCAGAGCAGAGGCTTCGTCCACTGTTGCTCTTGTTGATTCTACTTGAAGCCGATGGGTGGTAGTACAGACTAGAGCTGCTAGAACAGGCACTGGCTCCAGCTAATCTGGGAGATTTAGAGGATTTTCTTTACCTTCTTGCTTGAGACTATCTACAAACTTTTGATGCTGGTAATTTTTATGATTTTGCAAAACAGTATCAGTAGTATTCAATTGTGTATGATGGTCAATGTCTTAAAAAAAAAAAGTGCTACATAACAAGCAAAGAAGAAAGGGAGACAAAGTACCGCTCATGGGAGGTACTGAACAGCACTGGTGAGACAGAATGCAGTCATCTGTAGATAGATAGTTTGAAAAAGAAAAATTGAAATAATGCCTTTGGATCAACAAAAGGATAAGATAGGAAAACCAAAGTGTCCCATCTAAAATCCACATGAAAGAATGAAAACATAATTTAATTTTTGACAACTTTAATATTGGCTGTGCATTATTTGATAGACTATTAGTTTAAGTAATAGAAAAGAAGACATTAAAATATCATAAAATAGGATGATTTCAGTCAAATGTGCTATCTACACAAGATCTTGAATAGTCTTTTTAGAAAAAGTTTAGCTAAAATACAGGCATATAAATGAGCTCACAGCTAAGAAAATGAACTCAGTGTTTGCAAGGATTCTGTTAGAGGATTCTAAGTGAAGACAAAGAGAATTCATTGGAGAGAGGGAAAAACCCCACTTGCTGAGTATCAATGAAGGAAGAAGACAGTTAGGTTTCCAATTTGATTTATTATTTCCCCCTATTCAGAAACTGCCTTTCTTGAGAATAGCTTGATGTCTGCATTATTTAAAAATTAATTAATTGCCCTCTGGTTCTTACAGGTGACACAGGATTTTCTTTATAAGCAAGCGGTCTAGTGAGCAGCCTTTAAAGAAGGAAAAAGCAATAGCTGAAATTCCTGCACTCCTAGGACTTTAAAAGTGAGAGCTGGCACTAGGTATGACAGGAGCATCTGAAATGTTTCTCTGAACATCAGCCAATCTAAAAGATTTGCAGAGAACTGCAAACTGGCAGAAATGCTGGTTCAGATTGATTAATAATAAAAAAAATAGACAAGAAAAGAAGAAGCAATAAAAACCTCATTCAAGAGCAGGAGAGGCAGAAAATAGCATAGCCAGGAGATGAGCCAGGGCAAGGGCAAATGCTAAGGTGTAAACGTGTGGTGACAGAGCGTTGAGCAGCATGAACAGATGAGGACAAGATCCCTGAACTGGGAAGTATGAATGAAGATCCACAACAGATCTGATACACACATAAAATTTTGCTATTTGTTCACAGCTTGGGAGCTTTTTTAATTTTTTTTGCCTCAGGGTTCACTACTCCCAGTACACAGTTTTAGGAGGGACCTTAAGAGAACTTTGAATGGACACTCTGGACAAGGTTGCCATTACTGCCTCTTCCACAGAAGCAGGAGGACTTTCAGGTAGAGTTAGCAAGACCATAGCTAACAAGGTAGTTGAGCAGTGACATT